AGTGACCTTGGTTTGGTTTATTTATTAATTTCTATGGGATTTTATGGTATTTCTAAGCATCTTTGTAGCTAGTATACAATAGTTTCTTGATTTTACATTTTTCCCAGGCAAGAACAAAACCATTTTCAGTTGACACTTCAGTAGTTCAGCAGTGTTTGTAACATATCTCAGGACTTTTTTTTCATTCGTGCATGAAAAATATATTTATTTTATATATTATTTATAGGTCATTGTCAGATTATTGAAATGAAATGGATCAGTCTGAAACAGCAAACATTTAAGAAAAAATAGATTTTCCTTTTTATGTCTATTATTATTTATTTATTTATTTATTTGTAAATTGATGTTGAACAAATATTTCTTCCCAGATGAGTATTTTTGTTTTTAATACTTCTTGAACTGGAAAACATGGCATTTACTCATTCCATTTTGTATTTATTGTCACTCCTTGTTTTGTTTCTAAATGTTAAGGGGTTATGTTCTTACTACAATTTATTTTACCATACTTTGGGCATCCTAAATTATAGTTATGTCGAGAATAGCTGTGGTAGGTTCTGATCTTCTTATAGTTACCACCCAGACCTGGTACTGGGATTGAACAGGTTTATGGTTCGGGATTACTATAACCTATTTGAACATAATGATTCTGGGTTAGTTTAATATTGAATGCCTGTCATGTCATATCATGGTCCTAACACAGATGGCATCCTCCTCAAGTAATATATATATTTCAGTTTTGGGACTCCACACTTGAAGCAATGTGTGGATAGATTGGAAAAAAATCCAGCAAAGTGACAAATACGATTAGAGGCTTGTGAAGCTTGATTTATGAGGAAAGGCTGAAAGACTGGGGTTATTTAGTCTAGAGAAAAGAAGACTGAGGGAGGATTTGGTAATAGTCTCCAAGTACATGAAAGGAAATTGTAACGGGGATAGAAATATACTTTTATCTGTGGTTGTAGGGGACAGGACTATGAACAATGGTCCCAAACTGCAGCAGAGAAAATTTAGGTTGGAAATTAAGCAGAACTTTCTGACTATGAGGGAGGTTAAGCACTGGCACAGGCTACCTAGAGAAGTTGTGGAGTCTCTATCCCTGGAAATTTTCAAGAGCAGTTTAGACAGATGCTTGGTGGGAATGGTTTAGTTGGGGAGCATTCTGCCTTGAGCAGGGGGCTGGACTAGATGACCGCATGAGGTCCCTTTTAGCCCTACTTTCCTGTGATTCTGTTGAGCTGCTATTGTTGACTGAATGGCTAAAAATAATATTTTGGTCGTGGCCAGCCCATCTGCTTAGGAGTTACTTATCTCTTGAGGGCAAAGGATCTGTTTCACAGGTGTTTGTCATGGAGTTGGTGTGTGAGCATGGCTAATTCACTGGCTTCCCTGGTGCTTAGATTCCCCCAAAGGACTAAAACATTCAGAGTTCAACTCGGGTAGAATTTAAGCATGTAAGCCCAAGAGTACAATCTAGAAAACTAACCCCTTAGGGATCTGAAAGATTGTAGGCATCTAAATTTTCCCCAGAAAATTCGCTGGGTGCCTAGAAATCTACTACTGTGAATGCCTGGAACAGCTGTTCCTTTGGTAGGACTGAGCATCTCAGCACATATCTCCCACCTGAGCCCTTTTGGGATCTACAAACTCAACATTTCTGTGGCTACAACTCCAGAGGGGCAAAGACCAGCTGTAGGGGTGCCCACAGTTTACATAACTGGTTAGTAGTTAGAGTCTCACCCTCAAAGTGGGAGACCAGACTCAAGTGTACTCTTCTCAGCCAGAGAGACTCCCAAGCTCCCACCTGTAGGCTAATGAAGATTGAGAGGGGCTGTTCTAACAGGTAAACTAGAATATGGGGCAGACAAGAATATAAAGTTCATTAAGAGAAAGACAGGAAGTATATTCATGCACTCACTCTGGCCCACTCAATTTATTTTTTTCTTCCTTGAAATCTTGCTCTCTTGGCTGTCCAGAAATCATACACTCTTGGCTGTCCTGTAGCTCAGCCTCAGCAGCAGATGAGTGTCCCCATCCAAACCTAGCCTATTGCCTCATAGTTAGGGCACTTTCTTAGGAAGGGGGAGATGGGGGTTTGAAACCCCTAAGTTAAAGATCCCCCTCAACAACATATGGCCCACAGAGCTATTGCAGGGCTCTAGGGTCCTCCCTATCCTTGCACTGGCACCAGGGCTAAGCAGCAAAGAGCTGTGCTGGGACCAGGCTGCTCATCTGCACCCTTACTGCTGCTGCTTCTTCTCTTCTTTCCCTAACCTCCCCATGGCTGCAGTGTGGGCAATGGAGCAAGACAGCTGAGAGCTGCTCCCAGGCTACTTTTGTTTCTCCCAGTGCTTCCTCCCCATCCCACCCCCCAATTGGGGCGCAGATGCAGCTTCCAGCTGGAAGCTGCATCAGGTCCACACTGCTGCTCCTTCTCTCTCCCCACTTCCCCTCCCTGCCTCCCAGCTGTGGCATAAAGCAGCAGCAGGGTGGATGCAGCTTCAGCTGTCCTGGCACTGCTCCTCATTTGCTGGAAACTGTATCCATGCCCCAGCTGGGAAGTGAGAGGCTGTGAGAAGCAGCAGCAGTTCAGGCACAGCCCTCAGCTGTCTGGCTTTGGCATGGGCACAGGAAAAGCATCTCTCCACCCCCTTCCCCTCCCCTTCTCCCCTCCTGGACTAGATTTGTGGTTTGAAAAGGATGCCAGCACCTGCCCTAAGGCTGAAGGAGGCATTGAACTTTGGTCTCCCATTTCCTGGGTAAATACAGCAACCAGTGCTATTTTTAAAAAAGGCAGATGGTACTGGTACAACCACCATCTTCATAATAAGGGGCATCTTCATAATAGGGGCCTGGAAAACCCAGCCACTTACAACAGGACTTCCAAGTCTTGGCTACCAATCTTCAAACCTCTCAATGATATCTAGCTTAAAAATGTCTGACCAATGGCCCAAAACTAGAATGCCTCCTTTGTTGTGTTTTGTGCTGTAGGAGGTAACGGTACTTAGGTTTTAACTTTGAAACTTGTTTCAAATATATATTCACTGTCCTATACAGTATTTTTAAAACAAAGAAAACAGGAAGAAATGTATAACCATAAATATCAGTCCACAAGTGTTATCAATAGAGATTAAATCAAAGGTCAGAGGGGATTAGGAGCTGTCCCATGCTAATAATAGGTGCCTACAGTCTAAATGTAAGCAGGATTGCAAATACACTCCTGCCTTCAGTGTTCCTTAATGGCCTGTCATTAATTCCATTCTCCAGTTTGGAAATCTCCCCAGGTACCATATGAGGAACTCAGGCATGTAACCCAGGCCTGTTGATTCCATTCCCTGGCTCGATACCTAAAATTTAGGGTGTGGTGGCACTGAACATCACCACGTCTAAATGTGTAAATAGTATATGCATGTTTAATATTCTTCTCAAATCACAAGCCTTGCATGGGAGGTGTGGATGAAAAGCACTAGCACAGTGATTCTCAACCAGAGTACGATGGTGTCCTTGGATGTATGCCCGGTTGAGAGTGCATGCAATATTAGCACTGTTAGGTATGCAAACACCTATACAGGATTCACAAGATACACCCAGAGATTTCAAAGGGGAATCCATGGTGTCAAAGACATTCTGACCCGTTGTGGTCTTTCTGAATTCTTTGCAACAGAAGACTTGCTCTATTGTTTTTCTGTAATAAAAAAAAACATGTCAAAGCCATTGGTGACATGTAGGGAGTGCACATGAGTGCATGTGCACTCCCTGAGATTGGCCACTGCCAATGGCGCCTGCAGGCAGTCCCCGCTCGCCCCCCCCCCCTCCCGCCATACCACCGGCGGCATCTGCAGATGGTTGCCAATCGCTGCTGGCAGCATCAGTGGGTGGTCATTGATCGCCAGTCAGCACTTGCCACCCCCACCCCTGCCTCACCACCACTGCCACCTGTGGGCAGTCACCATGCCCCATCAGCCTCAGGAGGCATGTGGCATTTATGGTGAAAGCTAAAAGCTGGCATTTTCCAAGGGGGTGTCTTGAGTCTAACAACAGGTGTCTTGAGTTTAGAAAGGTTGAGAACCACTGCTATAATGAGGTGCAGGATTATTATAGAGGAGTGTTGATCTTCCCCCTGAAGCACTGAGCTACTGTTGGAGCTTAACACATAATAGAAATTGATGATTAAGCCGGTAATGGTTTAGGGCTTTAGCAAGGATACATTTTTTTGGCTGGTGTATACGGTACATGGTAAGGTCTAAGTTGTTTTGTGGTTATTTTGTAGAAGGAATTTATAAAGAAAATATCAACAATTAAGGATTATGCTTAATATACTGGTGCTAGACAGTTTTATGCCACTGATTATATCCCACGTTATGTACCCAGCTAAAGCTAATGCTAGTGTTTGAGGAAGACTTCCCAATATCATCTTTTGTCACTGTTAAGTACAGGAGTAATGGCAAAATGCAGTTGTCAGTGACAAGTCAAATAATTCTTCAAATGATCAGTGCAAGCTGGCTCAATACAGAGACTTAGCATTTCCTTGGCAGTCTTATGTGGCTGTGTGACAGTGATTTTTTTTCCTATAACCAGGAGAAATCAGGAAATAGAGATTGAAATGCCTTGCCCTGATACTATGATTGTATCACAACTGACTGAGGCACCCTATTCTCCCATGGACCTACTGGGGTGGAAGCTGTAAGGATGGGTTGGTATCAGGGATATTATTTGGGTGAGGCATGGAAACCCATACCTAAAACAGTCACATCATGAACATGATAAAGAGCAGAACGAGCTCTAAGTGTGGCAGAAAAATAGTGAGTACAAGTGATTTAACATTGATGTCTGTAAATGGGAAATCTATCAAGAATTTGGTCCAGCTGAAGTTGTTGGTACTTGATTAGTAAAAGTCTTTTTAAAGATATAATGTGTCTGCAGTATGTTGAAGATCTGGCCTCGTAAAAAAGTAAGAAAATTCAATTAATGCTGAAGACTGCTTCAGAGTGATTGAAACACAATATTTTTGGGGTGAAAAACAGAATACCAGACTAAGTCAAGACAATTAAAAGGAGCCTACAGTATGACAGGTACAATGCAAGATAAAAATTAGAAGAGGTAAGTGGGGAAAATAAAAAGCAAATAGCCACAGAATTAAAAGCACAGTCCTCTGCAAAAACTTACTCTTATGCTTAACTTTACTCACATGAGTAGTTCCTTTGAAATAACTTTTCCTTATGAAAGTCCATAAAATGGCTGGTTTGTCAAAATCTTGGTAGAATCAGAGTTAAAGTGTTTCAGAAGTAAAGAGGCCTTTAGGAGGATCACTTGGGCTCCCATGAAGACTAGAAAAAAAATAAAGGGGACAAAAGCATTACAAAGAAGCTAAATAATTTTTTGCAATAACTTTTGCCCCAAAGGATGTTAAGGAGGTATCCACGTTTACATGTTGCAGGCAATGAAGATGAGGCACCATCAGTCAAAGGTCTGGAACAAATTGATAAGTTAAATAAAAACAACTTGCATTGTGTTTTGTTAATCTGTGTAGCAAAATATTTTTAAAACACAATTTGAAATTGATAGATGTTTATCTAGCATTCATGTGTATTTCTTCAGAAAGATTCACCGTATCTTAGAAGCAGCATATCTGCTATGTGATGCAGGGGTTGCTATGGTGAGTTCACATATCTTACTTAATACTGTACCAGAGTAAATAGACTTTGTAACAATCGCTGTTAGCGCTGCTCTAAGCAAGGTTATGTCAGCATTTCTATCACAAATACTTGTTTTAATTCTGAAACTTGACCTAGAAGGTTTAAGTTGAAAGACAATATGACAGTTCAAAACCAAACCAAGACATTTTTAAACTTTTTTGCATATATGTGATTTATATATATATAAAAATATAGATGTGTACCATATGAAGAGGAATTCATGAAAGGGATTTTGTGGTTACCAAAAAGGTGAGGTCATAGTTGCAATCATTTCTTGAGATTTTGTGACTCAAAAATGTGTCTGCTTGCCTGTTTGCTTTACTGAAATGGGTAGAACATCACCTTGATGATAGATAGCATTTTGCATTTAGTAAAATATTTTTTATGTTTTTCACTATTTAGGGTTCAATTTTAATTTCCCTTCAGTTGGGCATAAATTATGTTTATACTCAGTTTACAACCCCTTTATACTGTCAGTATGTTTTAAAGGGACCTCTTTGTAATAAGAATCACGCCCATATTTAATGACTCAGTTTAACTAAATGGCACCAGAAATTTAACTCATAAACCTAAAAGTTTATTGTTTATGAATACTTGAGCAGGATAACATGTAATAAAGCAGGGCATTAATAAGAGTAATTGAAGACATTTCTTTTTCTGAAATTTCTATTTTTCTAATCCTTCGCTTCAGAAAAGTGTAAATAATTTTCTTATGTTTAGTATGTTTCTTTCATCACTCTCGCATGTTAGCTTGTAAGTAGGACTGACCATTCCTTTAAAACATTTTGCCTGAGCATAAAATTGGCTTTCTGACTAAAAAAAATGTTTAGGAAATGTCTGATTTCTTCAGAAGGTGAATTTTGTCAGAAAAATCAAAATTTTCAGACACAACTTCCACAAAAACTAAAAAGATACATTTTTACTACATTTAAGGCCTTAGGTTTTTAGTTTTTAACAAACAGTAAAACATTTCCACAGAAAATATCCATAATTTTCCAGTTGCCTCTATCTGTAAGGTCTGAGGATACCTTATTTTAGCACTGGGGCTTTCACAAGAGTTGATACAGCATAAATTTGACTGGAACTATTCCTAGGCTAGGGCCTGATGGGTGCTCCACTCACTCTGAATATCCATCACCACCCTGTTCCTCCTGTACGAACGTGTGAAGCTAAGCAAACACGTTCTTCCCAGAATCCAGGAAGAGGGGAGGGGGGAGAGAAAATCAAATAAATCACTCTATATGCCCATATTAACTGGTAAAGATGGTGGTGGGGAGGGGAGCTGGTTTCTGTGTAATTACTCATGGCATCAGGAAGAAAAAGATAAAATAAAATGTCAGATTTCACCCTGATTTACACTGTAAGTCATACATAGCATTTAGATTTGAACATGCAGCAGATTGAAGCCCTCTATTTAAGTGGAATTTTAGTGAACTCCAGATGAGTCTGGGGTAGCCTGCTGTTGTCGTGTTGGGGTCAGCATGTTACAATATCAGCACAGTATAATACTGATTACTTTGGTCAGCCTCTTCAACCCCATTTGATGTCAGCATGTCTAACTTTGCAAGACGTACCAATGGGCTACAGAAA